TCTTCTATGCGGAGGTCTGACGCACGGCTACCACCCCAAATCGCCGTATGGTGAAAATTGTAAACGTCATGACCCCCTGCCCACTACTTCCAATAGTGGGCAATACGGGGAAACATACACGTGAAAAAGACTCCTTAACCTCCTAAGTTCGATTGTTTACTAGGGTGAAGCGTCTGGGCGCCCCCAACCAAATTCGTGGTGCCGTGCGTGCTCTCGACCTTCGTAAAATTTTTGTTTTTTTTTTTTAAATTTATTGATTTGGAATTTTATATTACTTATATTAAAATCTCTGGACTACCTATATTATCATAATTTTTTTTCCTCAGCACTCAGCAGTACCCAGTCTATTCCAAAGCTCACTGTATACTAATTTATAACTAATTAACGATTTGTTAATATATTTGTCTCATATTTCCGAAAGGTTAATAAATATATCTATAACTATAGTGTTACTGTAGGACATCCGACTGTAATAATATGATTTTTTTTAAAACAGTTTTAATAAACCTCGAAATGATTAATAATAGAATGGCTAAAAAATGGGAATCGGTCTAATACACATGATAATATTATGCACGCTGTATAGAATTATTTTATATTTTAAATTAATAGCAGTGTACCTACTGCAATTCGTATGAAAACAAAAAAAAAAAATAATTTGGAATTATAAATTGTATTCATCCGATAAAATTTCTGAAAACATATTTCATAGGTTACGTAGGTATATTATTTTGAATTTGTCGACATTTGGATAGGTAGGTAGTAAAAACTACTTTCTTACATTTCTTAGTTTATTTTTTCTCAACAATATTAATAACATATTTTGAATGTTATTAATTATTAGAAAAGTTCAACTCAAAAAGTGGAAGTCGCTAAAACCGAATGATATGGACCATGACCAATTCAAATATTATGTTACAAGTCTTATCCGTTGACTAGGATAGTCGTCATCAGCACAAATTGGCATAAGATAGGTAGGATTTTGGACGGGATGCCCTTAAGAGAATGTCTGTGCGCTGTCACTGACCTACGCGCAACATAGTAAATTTGCGTTATGTTGATGGCTTTAATATCAGAGTGAATTAGCCCCTACTATAAAACTTTAATTTGAGAATATTATCTGTTTGTATGCTGATTTTTTTAAGTTGTAATATTTTATATAGGTATTTGCATACAAATTTAAATATCGTAAAAAAAAATCTAAAGTACAAAAACAGTTGCACAGATAATGCTCTACGTTTTAAGTTTAATGATAATATTATATGAGTCAATTAACTCTAATATTCAATCTTAACGCACTAGATTGGTTCCACAACTTGATCTAGAGAGAAAACAAAAAACAATGCACTGATATCCTCTTAATATAATATTTAGGTATCATTATTAATTGTACTATCATACATTAGAAGTTATTTTCTTTTTGTGGTTTTAATTTTTAATCAACCTTGTACATTTTTTAATAACAAACGAAAATAGTTCAGACCACTATTTAATACTAACTACTCATAGGAACCGCTAAATAACGGGTAATATTTTTATTAATAAAGAACAATATAATATATGTTGAATATACTGTTAATCAAAATGTAATTTTTATTTAGTTCGAATACATTGTGGTCTAACTCACACATTTTAAAAAGTACACAGCCTAATGTTATGTACAGATGATACTATAATATTATTATGTATGCGTATAAAGGTATTAAAATGTCTATAATAATACTAAATTGGTAACAAATAACTCAAAAAAAAAAAAATAAATAATAAATAAATAAATAAACAACAAAAAATCATTTTTACGAATCAATATAATATAATATTAATAACATAGTGAATTGTAACAAAAATGTACAGTAAGATGCTAAGTATAGCACATGAAATAAACAGCAATGACGAGTATAACAGTTGGTCAAGGGCGGGGAGAGGTACACAATAAAAATTTGTTCGGCACTTACTGGACGGACACACATAAGTACATAACACATTTTAAGTGTTAACTAGAATGCGATATACATCCGAAATCGAGTAAAGCCAACTCACTGTATGAAAATCGAATAAACGTAGTAAAAAGTTGCATTTGAAAAATAGGGGCCGACTGGAGGGGAGAAACATAATATATTATAATATGGATGTTATCACAGATGGCGACGATATATAAAACAATTAAAAGGTAACAATATTGTATCGCTGAGAGGGATATAATAAAATGGGCGGAATTATAAAAGACGCGCCACTTAAGGATTAGACTAGACTTCAAAAACAATAATAATATTAAAAACAATAATCATAATAATAATAGTAATAAAAAACACATTTTAAAAATTTCCCTACTGTACATATTATAGCAATATGGTTGGAACTAATGGAAGTCTCTGGTAAAGAAGTCGCAACAAAGTTGAATAGTTAAATTGTATTTATAGGTATCCAACAGTATTTTTTTTTCATATAGAAATAATATTACATTTGATATTGTAGCCTTAATTTTATTTATAACAAAACGTCTATAAAAGTTTTGAATGTAAAAAGGTTAAGGTTGTGTTGCGACAATTTTACCGGAGACTGAACATATATTTCACACAAAAATAAAACAACAAAGGTATACATGTCATAAACGTTTAACGATTAAACACAATATTATAAAGCTATCTGTGTGTACACTTGGTAATAAAAAAAACTTAACAAAATTAATTAATATATAAATAAAACTGACATGAGAGTGCGCATAAAATGCTCTTGTCAACAAGTACGTATACTTTAAACAACTAAAAAGCTCGATGGAAAAAATTAGACATCTATTATGTATTATAGTATTTAAATAATGTCAACTATAATGAATATATATAATATAGGTATTGTATAATATATATATGTCACTAGACTATGAGTATAGCAGTCTAAGCGTATAATAATAATAATAATAATTTAATATAATATGCAAAATGCAATTTTACAACATAAGTAGTATAATTTTTTCACACTTTTTATATCACAATCTAACATGATAATATTTCAAACACACTATTTTATCCATTAGGATACTGGTATATAAATATAATATTGGAATTAACTTGGTAACAACAAAATAGCCGAGCAAACAATAATGCCTAATGTATTATAGAATATGTAATATATATATTAAAAAAAAAAAAAACAAAACAATGGTTGAAAACAAACTTTCAATACTCAATAACAAATGGTATAGTAATAATTAGAATAAGACCACACTTATATGTCTACACTAAACGGCCTATGCCCAATAAAATGTTGTTCAAAACCAGTTCTATAACGTATATAAAATGTATAAATAATGCAATAAATATGAACTTATTTTTTATGTACTGGTTATATCTTAGATGAAACATTTAGAATCAAATTTATTCTAATGTTCAGTTACACGAACCCGAAACTCAACTGAATCGTAAAACTAGTGAACACGATATTTAACATTTCAAACTAATAAAATGGTAAATTTCAAAAAGCACTTAGTATATATTCAAAGTAATTGGTTAAAAATTCTTCACAAGCTAATATGTATGTTGTATGCCCAAAATCAACAAACAAGTGATCAAATATAGGTATTAGTATACTATTAGTATCGGCCCATTATGTTTGATAAATCACCAATACATATTATAAAACTATTTTTTGTTAAAATGAAAGAGTATTTTTTAACATTTATAAACCAGTTGTATGAATGTTTGTATTTAGATTAAAGATGTACCTTAAAAAATTTAATAGGAATCATAAAAATGTAATTATTAAGTGTAACAATCAAATAATGAAGTGGTGATTTATATGGTGTTCCGATACCAATAATATGTTAATTATACCTATTATATTCAACAGAAAATAATTATTCTTGTTTTAAAAATTATTATAAGTTAGCGGCACACTAGTAGTTCAACTCTAATCCATAATTTTCTGTCGAGTCAATTTTAACAATATACACACACACTTAGTAGTAATTAAGTACACTTTTTAGTTTTAACATAAGCAATTAATTAAAATAATTTTTAATGACTATACTTTTTTTATATACAGCCTGTAATGAATATAAACGCCAACAAAAATTTATTCAGGAACATATTATAAGATTATTGAATTTCTACTCAATTTTATGGGCAAAAATATTTCTTAAGATTAGGATTAAAAACTGTTGAACACATTTAGAGACATTATAATGCAAAACATGGTTGAATTAAAAAAAAATCCAACCAATAAAATTTTTTTATTTTTTTTTTATTAGTATAAGTTACTTAATATACATTAATATCTCCATTATAAAATTATGAATAAGTCAATCAAGTCTGTAATCCACAAAAATTATTTTTAGATAAAATTCAGATACAACAATGTATTCATTGGTGATTTACTCAAGAGCAAAACATTTTTTTGATCTAAATATTAGGCTTTTTGTTTCTGAAACAGGCTGTATTTATCACTTATATGACAATAGAATAATATTTTATAAATATTAAAGTTGCACATATACTCGTATTTTCCATTTAGAGTTAATTACGGTACTCAATATGCAGGAACAGACAATTGTTTGTGAAAAGTTTAATAAGCCCAACTCTACGTCGAGCAATGAATACTTAAGGTGTAATTATTATTTTATTGCAATAAAAAAATATATACCATATAATATTATGATAGTAATATTTTAATAATTGAAATAGTTAAATGTTTAAAAAAATTTTGTACTAGAACTTTAAGTACTAGAGCTATATTACATACCCGAGTACTCATTAATCAAAAATAATTCAAACTTGGATCTAATTTGGTAGTTAAATTCGAGTACTCATGCAACCTCAAAACATATAATTATTAACTAAGTAGTAAGTACCTATTATCAAAATCCAGGAACAAAAGTTCTGTAATTTACTGAATTTTGTATTACAAAAAATTCTTATTCTAACTTACTAAATAAGTAACCATGGGTGTAAAAAAAAATATATGACTAGTAGACTTGTCACTTTTGAGTTGAATCAGTACTTGCTTTAAAGAATCCTAAAAATAAAATTATGGTTAATTCTGTATTAGAAAATAATATTTAACATTAAACTGTTGTAATCAGGCCCGTACTGGCCCACCAGGCGCACGATGCACCCCATGAAAAATACAATGCATAATGCGCCTCTCATAAAAATCGCGTCTACATTAAAATTTTAATACATTTTATTTTTTTCCACAAAAACCATGGTCTAAGATAATCTTTTTGATATTGAGATTATATCTTAATGTGGTAAAAACTGAATAGTTAAAGTTTGAAGTTTTAAAACTAGCCACTATTCGTTAATACATTTTCTAAGAATTATGTAATCATAGTTATTGATTATTATCAATTTTATATTATTATTATGAGTTATAACTTATAACATTTAATAAATAATTTATTTACGTTACACCGTACACAATTATACGGGTATGTGATATCCATATAATAATATTATAAAATTATTAATAATATATATATATATATGTTTCTTCTGGATATAAATGGTTTTTATTTTTGTTTATTCTTTTCCCGAAATAACGACGTCTATAACTATAATATACTATAATATTGTTACACAATTAAATTTAACAACTTTTATTATAAAATATTTTCTGATATTAAACATGGCAATTCCTAGAGACCTAGAGTACAGAATGACTGGAAACCCCCGGAAGTGGTCACAAGGACAAGCGATACAGTGGAGGAAGTTGTTTTGCCTGCGCGACCAGTCATCATCTTATTCCACGGTGGGTATAGTCGTATTCGAGCAGATAATACTAGCAGAGCCTAACATGTATACAAATTACAAGTTTACGACGATGTGTCGAAGTCCAAGAAACACCTAATATTTTAAGTTGACATTTTATTATTTAGGTAAGTATTTTTTGTCAATTATCCAGTAGATGAACGTTATTTCTAGTTATTTAACATTTAACTTTTTACTTTTAGTAGATTATCATAATTATACTACGAGGATCAAATTGATATTGAAAGCGAAGAAGAACTTCCAATAAGACGTAAAAAAAACCATAAAACGCATGCCAGGAGAACTTGTTCGAGATGAATGTTTTATAGATGCTATTGACAGATTTTGTGTAATGATATTTAATTATACATTAGACACAATTTTGAAAAGTATAGAAACACGTTTTTTATTACATAAAGAACTTTATCTAGAGTTAGAATGTGAAGAATGTTTGACCCTCGTAGGTTCAAAGACATAAGGAAAAATGGGGTTCCATCAAATGCATTAAAAAAAAATTGCCAACTATTACAAAATTTAGATAGAGGTAAACTTAAAAATAAACTAGTGTCATTCGCTACATCATGGCCATTGATATCTAAAACAGATTTTCATAATGCATACGATAATTTAGACGAAGATAACATTGAAGACGAATGAACAGACGTTGATTTCGATAAGCCTCAAAAGTGCAATAAAGATGAGACATGTAACAGATGTTTAAAATTTTCCTTGCGCATATTAACAGAATTTAATATGTACTCTATACAGTATAAAGAATTGTATACTGTGTATAAATATCTACTCACCCTTCCACTTACACAAGTAACATGTGAACGTACATTATTGAAGCTTAAACTTTTAAAGACAAGATTGAGGTCCACAACTTCACAGGAAAATTTAGAATATTTATTTTTAAAGCAATGTTAACGAGATATTTTAAATCAAGTTGACGGGAATCGTATAATTGATAAGATGTGTTCTTCAAGCCAAGAAATCAATCGATTACTTTCACTCTAAATATATTATAATCAGATTTTTTCCCAATTTGTTATTTAATTATTATATAGGTACAATTATAAATGCGTATGTTTATTTGATTTAAGTTAAAATAAAAGTTTATATGATCAATAAATTGGTGTTTATTTATTTATTTGTTTTTAGTACAGAGCAGCTAACAATATTAAGATTTTTTAACCTGTAATCCAATGGACTTTCATTTATAGCTTATATATAGGATTAAATAACAAAAATCAAGGCGCCTTTAAATTTTTTTGCAAATGCCCCATAACAGCTGCCAGTACGGGCCTGGTTGTAATATATGATTATACCAATATTATTGTATTTTATTAATTAAATATATTTATAGAGATTTTGGTTGGTCACAGCTAACCTGTAGCCCTTCCAGCACAGTTTATAACTTTAATTCTTCATAATTTTGATATATTCATATGAATTTTTAAATTACTTACACTCCATCAAAACCATAGACTTCCAAAACTTTTATTTCAAAATCCAGACTTTTACACAATGGTGGGTTGTTGAATGTAGAACAACCCTCTGTTTTTCCATACCGGACGTTTTCATCCATCCATATTGCTTGACCGTCACTATATTAAGAACATAAACATTAAAAATAATCATAACAAATTTCAAACTAGGTATTTAAATAGAATAATTTATCAAAAACTCTACCCTCCGCCGATGGTGATCATTTTTTGATCAGCTGCCATAAACAGCTCATTGGCATGATGTACGTTATCAACTTCCATTCCAACCCATGGGTATTTTGCCTTACCCGGATATAGACTGAATATGAATGTCTCACCAGTACCAAAATAAGCTTGTCTATTCCCTCGATCATCCTTTTTGTTTCTCTCGATCCACTTAGAAGAACAATATGCACCAAAAACCTTCAATAAAAATGGAATATATAAGAGTATTGTCAAACAGCGTAATAAATTATAGTATGTAGGTATATTATTTTATACTTCATTATTGCAAGTTTTTATTAGTAGAAGTGTTGGTTCATGGTGTTCAACTCTAACATAGAATGTAGTTAAACTACAGCCATGCTCTTCAGTTGTGTAAAGAAGTATTGGTTGGTACATTGTTATCCTTACAGGCAACCAAGACCATAGTGTAAAAAGCTGGAATTAATTAATATAAAAATGTCTATTAGCGTATCATAAATGTGTGTACATTAAATTTAATCAATTTTAATTATTAAGTTCAAGGCGTGTAACCATATTGATGAAATCTACTTGTAAAATCATTAAAAACATGAATAATAATAAAATTAATGAAATCAGAACACAATTAAAATGTTGGCTCCGAATAATGCCAAAAACCAATTCTTATTTAGGTTCTAACAACACACTAAATAAAATATATAACATAAATAATATTATACACAGTATTTACACCAATATTTTACAAAGAAAAATTCCGTGTGTTTCAGAAAATAACTGCACGAATTTTAATAGAATTATTCACTTAAAATTTTGATGTCGTTTTAGGTGATATATCAACTTGCAGAATGACTGTACAATAAACTTAAGTTTTTCATTATTTCTCAAAATAATGAACTTTTTTTAACAACAAAATATTATCATGTTGTGATATAAATAATTCCGGTTACATGCCTTGATTTTTTTGCGGTAATGTACAAATTGATATATAATTAAATTTAACACTATAACAGTATACATTTTGTACAAGATGAAAACTATTTGATAAAATAATACTTGCTCTGTCCAGTAGCGTAGCTGGAACTCAATTAAGGGTAGGGGTCTATATAAACACTATTATATTTTATTACCTATATCCGAGATTAAAACATCACCAAAAAAAATTCCAAGCGGGTGCAATCTTATCATGGCCCCCCACAACTACGCCACTGGCCCTGTCGGTTGTTGAAATTACTTTTAGACACATAACTCATGCATGAATACAATATTGAAAATGTATACAACTTAATAAATTAAATAGTATTTCATACAAATTGCACTGAATAAAATTATACTTTTAACTTGCTTTTAACATATAGTTGATTAAATGGTAAAATTATGGATGCAGCCAATCAGAAAAATAAAACAATGATTATTTTGAATGAACCTTAGTTTTAATAAAGATGTAATTTATAAAAATATGGATGTAACCAATTAGTATTGCTCTGTTAACCAATGTAGGAAAATTCGGACAAAAAAAAAAAAATATATAGAGAACATTAAACCTAAAAAATTCAATCAGTTCCCTTTCATTCATTTGGGGACTGAAAGTATCAACAGACACTAAAGCTGTATTTGTAGCAAAAATAATTGTATGCTGGAAATGTAATAGATAATTGTTTCTATATAAAGGTACTACAAATCATTCTGATCATAATAAAGTGAACTTTATTTTGCTTTCCTCTAAATGTGCTTTTTTTTCAAATTAACAATTTTTCCACAATTTTACCTAATTTTATAACTATTATATGGCCAGAAATCAATAATAATTGAAATTTTCTAAATATAAAGTGTGGTATAAAGTAATTAACGGAATACCGAAATTATAGTTTCGTCAAAGTATTACACAAACTAAACATATCAATAACACTCATAATGGCAGTACAGCACTGCATCAAATATTAATGTATAATTTAAACAATTTAGTTTTCAAGAAAGTTGATCCCACACATCAGTTGAAGTACAAAGGTAATTTTGAATGTATAAAAATATGTAAGCACTCCCTGGTAGACAAAGCTTAAATTAAATAAATACTATTTAAGACATTTTTTAACAATTTATTTTGTTACTAAATCCAAGCCCCAATAATAACCAATGCATCTGAAACACTGTTGAAAGATAAACCTCAGCTAGTATAAACTAATAAAGTTAATGCCTCATCAAATAATTGTTAACATACTTAACCCCTGAATAAATATTAGATGCAATAATTTATTTTTCAAATGATAAATTGTAATATTAGTGTTTATAAATAAATTTATAACATACTTCAATTTTATTATTATTGTCTAATGTGCACTTATGGTAATTAAATAAAAATTGTAAATTTATCTATATACAGTGATTACTTAAGTAGTTTGTCTGTGTAAACATATACATAGATAACACTAATAGTCTAATATATTCTAATTACTAAAACAATTGATCAACAACACTGGAATTAATCTTGCAAAATAAAAATTTAAAAAATTAAACTAGAATGTATGGCACTCTGGATCTATTTTCTAGATTTCTAAAAACATAATTATAAAATATAAGCTAATTGCATGTACTCAAAAAATATACAGAATAAAGCTTGGATAAAAAAATATAAATTAAGTTCAAACGTTCTGCAAAAATAAATAAATAAAATTTTTTAAATATCTCGATTCAGCTGCAGTTTGTATAATAAACTTACATCCTGATGATTAGCTATCAAAGATCTGATATTGTTAATTGGATAACTGGCCATCGTGGAAGCACGAGGGCTTGGTGAATGTTCTCCCTGAATGTCAGCATAACACATACAAGTTTATTACCAAATGTTATGTTATTGATAAAATGCAAGTATGATTCACTATCAGACTATCATTTGAAGATTTAAATCACCAGATTATATTTATTTTAATTAATACATACATTTAAAACTTATTGGACAACTATAAATATCATTAGATTTACACAATACAAATTAACTTAAAATAATTATATTATTTCAAACACAAATTTTTTTTGGAACCAATCACAATATACTCCTTCCGGAATAATTAAGTACCCGGGCGGCGGACCAAAACAAGTTTGCCGTGAGCAGGCCGGTCTTATGACTATAAATGTATGTTTATAACTATGATAAGGTTGCAGGTGGGAAACCGGTTGCCGTTTGAGCGACGGGGGATATTCTTATTCCGGACGGAGTGTATATTATAATATCATTAATTATGAAATTTACCAAGTATAATTTTCAAGTAAAAATAATGAAATGAAAATATTTTGAACCTTTTTATACATGCAACTACAAGAAAATTATAATCCGAATGATCATTTTAAAATATAAATTAATATTAGCCATAATAACTTAATTATCAAATTGATATAGATAGGTCAGTTGATAGTATTTAAGAAAAATAGATGTTTGGAATTGGTATATTTACTTATTGACTTATATAGAATAATTCCCCTGAGCTAATCATGTGGATTTTTACTCATAGCCTAATTTTTAAAATTATTTTTTTTTACATACAACTATTACATAACAATAGTATGGGTACATTATTATTTAACAATAACAAACTTAAAAATTAAAACAGGTTGAACAAAATAAAATGTAGAAGTACTTATGGTTATATGGTAGGTATATTATTATTTTGGAATAAGTTGATTATATTTTGTTCACTTATTTTATAATTAAATCTTCATGAGCAGGGCTTGTAAGTTCATGCTCTAAAAAACGCTTGAATATGCATGTAACTATACTCCAAAAAGTGCTCAAATATGCAGTTAAAAAATATTGATTGCAATAAAAACTCATAAATATAGTAAAATATATGTCAATTAATTTTTTTAATTTATAAATAATACTTAATCGCCTCCCAGTATTTTTTTATTCTTAACTTTTATGAATTAACACATTTATTTTGTTCTTACTTTTGATATAAACTGTTTTTATTAGACTAGACGGGTGGTACATTATTTTTAATAATTTATTGTCTAAATAATGTCTATATATTGATTATATTTTTAAAACATATTTTGTTTATGATTGACATCTAAAAGATTGGCACTTACATGTTGTTCAAAATAAATTAAAAAAAATTTAAATGCTCTTTAAATATGAAAAAATGCATGATTATGCCAAAATATAACAAACATGTTGAAAACCTAGAAATATTTAATTATATGCAAATTGAAATTTTATACATTAAAATCCTGTCACCTTAAAGCAATTTACTATGTTACCTAGCGTTTAATCTGACTTGTCAAGACTGATATTCAAATTTCCAAGCTTACAAGCCCAGTTTATAAGAATAATTTCCAAAATATATGACAACTTGAGTAATTTGTTAGAAAAATGATTTCAGTAGTAATTTAAACATTAAAAATTTATTTGACAACACTATAATATAATTTGAATGATAAAAATACATTAACTATAATTACGATTGCTGAAAGTTAAATAATCCCCAGTCGGATTAAAACTAAAAATTCAAGAGGTTATGACAACAATGCAAAACACAACTAAATGTAGGTAACCTATAATTGTTATCTCAATATTAAATTATAATCAAGTTTAGAAGTTTGAAATAGATTAATGATGTATTAAGAAATTGCTGAACAATGAATAAGTTAAACAAATGGTTAACAGTATTCATAAAAATCGAAGAAAAATATAAGTACTTAAGTTATTTAGGTATTTAAACTTTTAAGTATAAGAAAATAATAACTGTTCAGACATTTTCAGCAATTATAATACTATTATTTTACTATGCACACCTACTAAATTATATTATATTATACAACTTACCTCACGAATAGTAAGTGTATGAGAGGCCATCTGAATATTCATTTGAGATTGACTAGTAGGTAAATTTTCACTAGAACAGGAACGGTTTAATTTATTGGAACCAGATAAAACAACTTTACTCTTCAATATCATCTCAGTTTTCACAAAAACTCTATGAATGTATGCTGAGCTGAGACCTCGAATTTTAAATGCTGTTTTAAGCATTTTTTGCGGATTTGCCTAAAATAAGATAATAAACGCATAAATCATAACTGTTATTTATTTAGTTCATTTTAATATATTGTATAGTTTAATTAGGTACCGGCATCTGACGGCAAAAATTCATCAAAGCCACATCTACTCCATGACTATTTATTTCTTCGGCCCAAATAGAATTACTTGTAGTTGAGTATTTGTAAAAAAGTTGCAAGATAGCCATTGCCATACGATATAACACTTTGATGCCTTCATGAAGATAACAATCCATTACACGAACCTAAAATAAAAATATATTTATATACTTTAATATAAATTTAAAATACAACTTCATTATATCTAACTAACTGCATGGTGAAACGGTAGTCCTTGAAATATCCACCAAATCCAATCCATGTACATTTTTTCTGATTTTTTTATTGGGCAATGTTTCCCAATATGCCCCGCAGCAGATTTCTATAAGTTATTATTTTTAAAATTAAAAAACAAACTATTATAATATTTACAGTTTGATAAATTGTAGGTACGCACAACATGTTTTCTACATATATTTAATACAGTTTTCCATGTAACTTCATACAATAATTTTGTTTGTGTTACAAATACTAAGTTCTTGGACGAAACTAAGCTTGTTAGACTATTATAGCATTCCTCTTCTAAAAAAAAATACAAAATACAAAATACAAAAAACAAATTTAAAGATAGTTTCTTAGATGAAGTACCTATGTTATTAAAATAATAAATTATAATATTAAATTCAAACCAGGCATAAAATGTAGCAGCAATGATGTTAACGAATATATAGCAGGGCTATAAGTGATGTCTGGACAAGCAAACCCCAGCACGCAAACAATTCTGTCAGTAATATTCTTGCCTGTTGAATCAAGATGATGTAAATGTCTGTGTTTCGACTCAACAAATGTCGGTAAAATAATTGGTTTATCTGGAAGATCTAATAAAATGCAAAGAATGTTTAAATTATTTTCAGGAATAAAAACTTGAACTAACAAAACTTAATCTTAATAAAGGTATGCAGGTTAGGTTAGGTACCTACCTCTATTTTAAATTAGTTTTTAAATGTTTAATCGTTCAAACGTCAATAGAATTGTTTTTTTTTTTTAAATTAAATGTATTAAATCAAGTGAATGAGATTAATTAATAGATGAGTGAATAATGGACCAGGTACAGGAAAAATAAGTAATTTGAATGATCACAGAAAACAAAATAGTTGTCTCTGAGTAGTGTTTATACTATTGTTGTCTGTTACTATAATAGTACATAAATAAGTAGGTAGTTACTATTTATACAATATTACATCTTAAAAAAAATATGATCATAAAATATTGTGTACCTAGGTACCTATGTAAATAAAACAATTGAAATAACTCATAAAAATACTCGTAAAAATATAAAATTCTGTACCTAGTTTATTTTCTTGTTTTTTTAAGTTTAGATATCTAATTGGTTAAAAAGGAAACTTTAAAAATTAAAAAATCTTAGTTATTAGCAAAAAAAAGACGTAAATAAAGATAAAACAAATTTATCAGCAATATATTTTTGAACAATAATTTATTTATTTTAGTAATGTCTGAGTTTTTGTACTGAGTACCTACCTACACAAAAACATTGTACCTACTATTGACAAAAAAAAAAAATGAAATAATTCATGAAAAAGGTAAATAATTAACTTCTTACCAGTAGACCCAAACAATTGTCGTACAAGATCCCAGTAGAATCCCTCTTGCATGTTTTTGCTGTTTTCGGACGCGTGTTGCCGGCAAAGCGCCGGCCACAGTTGGGCCCTGATCGGATGGTTGGTCGGCCAGCAGTTGTCGCGCAGCATCTTCTTGACGTCCTTCTGGAAGCCCGCCGCTAGGAGGCTCTGGATTTCGCCGAACGACTTGAGGGCCTGCTTCTTGGCCGTCAGGGGACTGCCGGGGAACGCGGACGGCGGACCGAGTGCCGTCGGCGGTGGCGGTATACCGTCCACGTTGACGTGGGGCTGGTACACGTCCGCCGCGGACGACAGCAGCTCCTCCTTGGCTGTCGACGACAACATGGCACTGTCGGCCACCACCATGCCGGGGACTGTGACTTAGGTGTAGTCGTTGACGGTCACGAACTTGGTTTTTCTGGCGTTGGACATCACTGCTCCTGATCGCCACCTGCAGCCGACCCGGACCGAGACGTGAGGGCGCGCTCGACGACGACGTCGAAGACGACGGACCGACAGCGGCGGCGTCCGCGGCAGCTGACAGGTGTGTTCATTTCTCCGATCGACGACGGTGTTTCGCAATATCAACAACAGCGACTTGTATAATTATTACGATTATTATTACCTATTACAGTCGCGGCGACCACACGAAGTGTACATCATCCGATCGTCGTCTGCAGCGGCGGAGAACCTCTCAAAACCCGCGGTGCATTATCACTATCGACGACGACGGCGACGACGGTGGCGGCGGCGGCGGTGGCACGCGACAATCGCCCAGCGCACACCTCTCGCGCGTGCGCGCCGCGCGCTCGTGTGCGTCCCGCGGCTGCAAAGTCGACGTCGCGCGTCGTCGCTCGCTTCCCGTATTGCGTACGGCTCGCGGAGACTCTACGACAATGCGAATAATATTATCGTCGTTTGGCCTACCCCGTGGTTACCGGGTCGACGGTTATTCGCGGCGGCGGTTGTGTTTGCTGCGCACGTCTATAATATAATTATTTTAAATATTATTATCGTTATTACACGTTATAATAACGCGTTTACAACTGTTTATCACGATATTATAATATTGATGATAAATGATAATTATTGATATTACGCGGCGGCCGTTTTATCACGACGAGACTCGCCGCCGTCTCGACGTGATAGCGGAGCGGACAACACCTTATCTTGTTATTGATTAAAATGTTCTGGTTCGCGCGCGCCGAGCACGACTCGGCGGCGGCAGGGTCAAAGGAATATAGTAGGCGCCCGTGCTCGGCGGCGGCTGCGGTGGAGGCGGTTCGCGGTGGAGGGGAAAAAAGGGTTAAGGCGACGACTTGAAAGCGGTATCTGTGCACGCACGAGCGGCGGCCGGGCCGCGTCGTCGTCGTTTATACACACATAGATAATAATATGCTATTATTATTATGTACTTACAATTATTTACATATTATATATTATAATAATATTACAATATAGATAGAGGTGTGTGCGGTAATAACACGGATGCGTGGACACGACGGCAATAATAACAATAATAATAACGTTACGTTACGTTGTTTATTACGATTGTGACGTTGTATAGCCGCCGCGACTTGGAAACGACGGCTATTAATATAATATAGGTACGAAACGCTTTAAACCTTTATTACCAGTCAGCTACCTCTATCGATCATATTATCATAAAATTATAGAGTAGGTACCCCAGTATACACGACCTACCTGTCTACCTACCTCCCATCCGCCACCTACGTACCTATAATATATCGGTACGCGAGTCGGACGGCCGCGGTTGTTCGTGCGGCGTACGGTGCTCCGGAATGCTAATCCGGGAAATCGGCAGGTGGTGGCGGTGAAATTTTGATCGGAAAATCCGACGAAAATTATATCGTCACAGGACGTCCTAACGCGGTCACACCAGCAGACACGGCAACGCTATATATTATTACAACAACACTGCAACGAAACAATTTGTTCAACGTGTGTGCTGTCACGTTACACGCACGACAGAAGTGAATACTTAAATGTATATATTATAATATTTGACTTTGGTGATCAAAGTCTGATTGGAATTTTTAAAATATTTCACACGATTATTATAATATTATGTAAATAATATAATATTAAAACTATATCAATATTACACGCATACACGCAGTACCTACATATAATATAATATTATCGTTTAGAGTAAACAAAAAAATAATACTAATTTAATTTATATTTAATACGTTTAACGCCCGACGTTAAAATACGTCATGTAGGTACCTATGTCAAACGGTCCGCCGTCACCTGTGAAGTATTTTCACTTTGATAAATAACAATAATATTATATTATTATTAATTATTATAATATATAGCCGTAATATTATAGGTAGGTACATGTACCGAAAAATGTAACATAATATTGTAGACCGCTCGAACGAGAAGCGACGACTGCCTCGCCTCGTGATGTTTACGATGCACATTTTAATAATATTGTTTATATTATATTGAAATAATAATAATTAATATCGTATTTCGTGTTTTGCACATCGGCGAATAACATTATTATCGTTTAGCGGTCGTACGCATAAAATAATAATAATAATAATAATATATTATTACGTGTAGGTAGGTAGGTGGTATTATCATAGTAAGTACTATATGTTTACGCAATAATATTGTTTATGACGATAATAATATTATTCGCGATGACGATCCCTAGCTACAGCATTATAATTAACTTCATAATTATTGTCTTAATCAAACGGCATAATGAACACTGCAAGTATAATGCGCTTAAATAATTAATATAATATTATTATGAGAAAACAAAAAATGTCTTGGTTTCACTTTCAAAAGCCGAAAAACAGAGAGACGAGTGCGGAGTGGGTATTATAATATGCAATGTTCGATATTACCTATATATATATATATTATAGTGTACTTATTATGGAATGTGTAATGTGTTTACAACATCTAGAATGTTAAAGTTAAATAACTATATACCTACGACCTACCTATATGAATATGGTTAAAATTTACCTAATTTACAAACAATATTTCTAATCTCAGTGCTCGTATAGTAGTTGTCCAACAGTAATATTATAATTGCAAAGGTGGGCATGTTAATGAAAATAATTAACTCAAGTTATGTTAAGTTAAGAGGACCCAAGATCGATAAGTTAAAAGTTAATAAATAATAGGTATAGTAAAAAATATTAACTTAACTCAGTTCAAAAAAAGTTAATCAATTTTTTTTTTGATTAGTATGTAAATCACATAATGAGTGAATGCATCTTTCTAGTTTCTAGTTAATAAATTATAAAAAACAATTTTATTGAACTTTTATCATAATGTACACTGTTACCATTTTACTTTTACTCCACTATTATTTACTAATTTAAACTATACTTATCTCAAATTAATAATTTAACAAATATATTTTTATATCGTATAGCAGTTGAATGTCATAATACTTGAAGATGAGTACATGACCTTCAATCTTCATATATGTATGTTATAAGTTATATAATATTAAAACATAACAATTGTCAATTTGTGATTTAAAATTATTAATTTTCTTATAAAAACATTTATAACTGCAACTCGCATAATATATAATTTACAATTTAATAAAATATATTAATATACACAAAATTATGTTATCAAGAAAAGTGTTTTTGTATTGGATTATTTTTATTTCATACTGATATGGTAATATTTACGTATAAACGAAAAATTTAAAAATGTTTATGACTTGATGGATTTTTTTAAAATCAACTGAGAAAAGCTAAGTTATTTCAACCGTAAATTAAACTAGTGAAGTTCATAAGTTGATTAGAAAATAAACTGACTTTTTAAGTTAAAAAATTAACTTCTTAACTATAGTTAATGCGCCCACCTTTGTATAATTGTATAGCGCTGTACGTTTTATAATATTTGTTAAGCCACTGTTTGTTCTGTTTCTATTATTATATTATATTATCTGAAGGAGGCAGCTGGTTTACATAATATATTATGTTTGTTCTTATAATTAGGTACATTGGACTATCGGAGTGTATTTAAAAATATATAATATAAATATTAGTATACGCCCAACTGGAAGACCATCGAATTCGTTGTATAACTGCAGAACGGGATAATATATAACCTTGGCCTATCAAGGATTAACTTCGTTAAACCATATATATATATATTCAAAGTAGTAATCGGAGAAATCGGGTGTATTTCGCAAGTGCCACCCCGTGTTCGCTCAATTCCGTTGGAAAAAAAATTTATCGTGCCAGCGAAATAAATAAATTGTTTGTTAAAACAATGTCCGTGCCCCGATTTAAGCAAGTGCAGCTGGTGCACTCATACACTCGGCCCCCTGCAAGCTGCAAAATAAACCGTACTTAACTGAGTAATTTTTCCATTTTCATGCAGTGCCTACACTGTGCAATTTAGTTTATTTCGATTTAAATTACATTAAAAAAATTCTAGAGTATTTTTGATGTTTTAATATAGGTATAGCATAGTAATACACTGCAGTAATATCTTCGTCGTCCTTGATTTACGAAACCAAGTAACTAAATTGTATTTATAGTGTCCGCATAAAATAATGTGGAAATACTTTACGAGCTATGAGAGTTATATGTATGTAGGTACCTATTTAACCGCAAAAGTTTTTTTTTTTCCGTTATATTACCAACGTTTCTTCTTCCACTCTATAATTTTCGACCTCAAATAAAAGTCGTCGGCCCTACAAATTCCATTGAATCGCACAATATCATCATAATAACCGTGCGATAGAGGCATAGGCGTATGATTTCAATGCGTATTTTAATTCAATAAAATTATTAATATTACCTAATAATTATAATAGTAATATATTATGGCAGCGGTCGGACTGCTATCTATATAGTATCGCGGACTTTGGAACATATTATACCTACTGCCGAGGCGTGTGTAGTGTCAGGGGGGGGGAGGGGGAGCTGTTATTGTACACTCGAGTAAAATATAATTCTACACAATAATACAGCCGCCGCCGTAATATATCGCATTATAATAATGTAAAGCAGGCAGCAGCAAACGGGCTTTATGCGATGAACGAGTGGTCCCGCTGACGGATTGCCAGATTTCGTTCTGCTCTCGCACGTACACACACGATTTTAAAAGTATTTGCACTGTAATAATAATATATACACACTCGATGTGTGTGTGTGTGTGTGTGTGTGTTTGTGAATCATTTTGTTATTTTTTTTTTCCTCGACGAGTTTGAATTATTTACACAGCGCGCCGCCGACGCGAGCAATAATAATAGCTCGCGCCGAGAGCAGCCGCGCGGGAAGAGAGAAAAATAAAATAAAGGCCGCCGACGCGCTGTTTGGCCGGCGAAAATGTATTATTATTATTATTAT